AGACACTGGGCCCTTTCTATTCACTCTTGTATTGTTCTGCATCGTCTGACTCAGTATGTCTTGAATAAATGAGTAATTAAGAGAGAGAGGGAGAAGAAAGTGGGAAGAAAAAATAAAAAGGATAAAAGGAGGAGGGGGAGGAGGGGGAGAAGAAGGAGAAAAGGCATCTTGAAATCTTCCAGTCTCAACAAAATTTAGCTTTGTTGAGACTGGAGTGTGGAACATATGGGTCTGTAGAAGCTGGACGTACTGTGTGTGAGTGGAAGGAAAATCAGTTGCTGTTTTTAGTTAGAAAAACCCAAGGCTGTCTCAGGAACCCAACTCCCATCCTCCCAAGTTCCAGGGAAAGGGGCCTGGGAGGATTCAGCTCCAATCCGCTGAGGCCAGAGCAACTTCCATTCAAAAGAGGAGAGGAGGTGGGAGCCTGCTGGGTCTTCCCATCTGTGCTGGGCTGGGAGGTGGTAACTGCAAGAGAAATGGGCACCAGGGCATTCTAGGGAGCCCCAGGGAGGCAGCTGTGAGTCTCCTGAGACCCCAGCAATGCAGGCTAGAGGGCTGAGTGGAGGCTTTCGAGCTCTCGATAGGGTCAGGGACATTGTCTTCGGGTCCTGGGGTCCTGAGGTCTCAGTCTAGGTTTCCCAGCTGCCCTGGTACTATACAAATTGTCTCCAGGACTCTAGAGGGCGCCCAGGCTGGGGACATACGGGGTGCCAGGAGGGCTTTGAGAACTGTGGCAGATATATCTTGAGAGCTCCCAGGCCCCGGGCTGGTGTGGGGCACTTCAGCAGATGCCCTTTAGGCACCTTTAGCTGCCCCAGCTATCCTCTGGGCACCAGTAGGTCCCGGGTGAATCTCTGTTCCAGATTTGAGCTCTGGTCACTCAAAGCTGGGAGTTCACAGAGACACTCAGTTGTCCGTGTGCACATAGGAAACGTGAATCATGGTGGAGGGGGCGGTGACTGGCCTGAGTCACAAGTGAGCCTGTGGCAGAAGGAGATCAGAACTCAAGTTTTAGGGCTTCCGGTGCTAACGCTGAGTAGAGACCTGCCCTTTCCCCTCACTCTGCCCTCAAACGTCAATTTCACAGCTTTGTCTTTTTCTCCACTATCTGGCCCTGGTGCATAGATGGTCCCTGGCACAAGGCAGGTACTCAGTAAATAGTAGTTAAGAGAATGCATCCCCTGTTCTGCTGCCAACATGAGAACCCCCTTCTCCCCTCATGCCACCCGCCCAACCTCTGCAGCCTTCCTTGACCTCAACCCTCATGACCCTGCTCATTCTCTCTGAAGTGGCCCTGTGACCTCGGCAGTGTCAGATGGTAGCAGCAGCTGGCTGTGCCCGGGCCTAATGTTCCCCATTAAAGGAACATCTGTTGGCTGGGGCTCCCGGGGCGTGGGCCAGACGCAGCCACGCTCCACGGCCGTTCCACGGTCAACATGGGCTGCTGCAGCCAAAGATGTGCTGTTGGGTCTCTTTCAAGGACATGATGTCACAGCCAAGCACATGCTGGCTAGATGTCCACTGCTAACGGTTACACAGGAATTATCGATGACTGGCCTATTGCTATGAGACCTGATACCCGGCTCCCCTCATCTGGCCTTTAATGTCTTTGCCTTCTTGGGTTAGTCTTCTCAGAGCTTTCTATGGTACCTCTGGCTCCCAAACTCTGTCTTTCCATGAGCAGGATGCTATGGGCCAATGTGACTGGGTGTGAACTCCAAAATAGCCGGGTGTGAATTCCGAGAGACAGGATATTCTCCATCTAGAAGCTGTGGATACCTTCTGGTCCAAACAGCACTCAAGCGTCACGGACCCTAACAGAGACTGTGAGCTCATGGCGCCTGCTCCAAGCCCTTCCTCTTTCCAGCACCTTCCCAGGGGTCCTCTGGGCCTGTCATCGGCCCTGCCCTGGCCATCTCACCTTGCAGGTCCCTGCTTCACCTCCCTGCCTATGAAGGCCTCTCAGGGGAGTAGTTCCCAGGGACACCTAACTGGGATAATGAAATTAATGATTCTGACAGCAGTGAGGAGGCATTGAATGAGTCTGGCTCTGTTCTGACAGCTTTGCACATATGAACTCATTAATCCTCACAGCAGCCCTGTGAGGCGGGTGCTGTCGGTCACTCGCTGTCCCTGACGTGGCACAGAAGCCTTCTCCATAGCCTTCCTTTATAATCCCTAACAGCTGCAGGCTGCTTTCCTGCAGCTTCCCTCTGCTGCCTGGCGCTCCACGCTCCTGCCTTCCCTCCATACCTCTGCCACTCTCTCCTGCTTGCATCACTACCTGTGCTTCCTCTGCCCACTCCATAAATATGGGATCTCCAGGGTTCCCTCCTCCATGCTCTTCTCACTTTACGTCCCTTCCCAAAGTGAGCTGTCTCATCCCATGGCCTCAACCACTACCCACAGGCTGGAAGGAAAAGTGAGTGGTAGGGTCGTAAGTACCACGTTAAGGATTGAGGGTGCTAAGAGCCCAGAAAGCGTGGGATTGTTGGTGGGGGGCTTGTGACATGGCCAGATATTCATTTTGAAAAGCTTGTGGTCATAGCTGTATGGGGTTTGTGTACCCGTGGTCTCAGTGAGGGATCCTGAGCTCCTTCACTGAGTAGGGTGAAGGAATAGAGAGTGGGGCATGGATTGCACAAGGTTTCAAGGTAAAACCAGCAAGGGCTTCATCAGGAGCACTAAAGGGAAGGAGATGAAGTGGGGTGACTCCCAAGTTTCCAGCTGGGGCTGGAATAGGCAATCAGCTTTGAGTAGGAGATGCTGCACTGAGTCTTGGACTGCAGTGTTTGAATCATCTTTGGTTCTTCAAGATGGGGATGTCCAGCAGGCAACCAGCTGTGGGCTCTACCCTCACAGAGTAGACAGCACAGAGGACTGGGAGTTGTCCACATACAATTCTATAACATCCATGAGCAGGGTGAGCTCATCCAAGGTGGGCAGGGTGGGCAACCAAAGGCAGGGCAGCTACCAGCACCTGCATTCAGTCAGGGCTGTGGGGGGGACCCAGTAAAGGCTGAAATTGTTCCTTGGATTTGGCAGCGAAGAGGTCTCTGGTGACCTTGGTGAGAGGTGTTTCAGCATTGTGGGAGGACAGAGCCAGAGAAGCAGGGATGGAGCAGGAAAAGGTAGTGTCAGGCAGTGCAGGGAACTCTACAGAGGCTGGCAGAGCTGGAAGGAGAGGCGGGCACGGGGGGAAAGGGGTCGGAGGAGCCGCTGGGACCCCTAGACCTGAAAATCTGATCATCAAGCTTGACAGTTTCCTCTTCCTCGCAGTTCATGTCCAATGAGGCACCAAATCTTGGGGATTCCTAAACACCTCTCAGTTGGCCTGTCCCTTCCTCTCCATCAGCCTGGAGATGCTGTGGGGGCCTCTGCAGTAGTGGGGGCCTCTGCAGTAGTGCCTGCCTCCACCTCTTCTGTTCCGAGTCCTTTCACAGTTCTGGCTTGGCGCGTGCAGGCTTCTGCCTGGCTGGCTTTCCCCTCTTCTCCAGCTGATGAATTTGTGTCCCCTGCTGGGCCTGCCTTGGGGGTAGGTGGGGGGAGTGGAGTAGCAGCCTTAGACCAGCCTGTTCCTGCCCTTCCCCCTAGGGTGGGTGGGGGGCCCTGCTGAGGGGGTGGGTCTGAAGTGGGACCCCTCAGTGGTGGCTGAGGAGGGGCTAGGGTGGGGCGTGTGGGAGAGGCTGCTGCAGAGACCCCTGCATCTCAGCATCTCATTCCTAGGGCTCCAGCCCTGGCCTGGTGTGTCTCCCCTCCCCACAGTCCTGTGAGGTTGTGCAGCTGTGAGGCTGTGGGGCTTCGGGGGTGTGGGGCAGTATGAAAACAGGTGCGGGCTCCCTCCTTCCCTACCCAGGCGCTCCTGAAGTGCCTTGTGTCTCCATTCCTGTTTGAGGGATGTTCCCGGTACAGGGCTGAGCCTTCCCTCAGACTGTAGGCCTTGCCTTCCCTCCGCTAAACCACTTCCGGCCCCCTGCAAGGGCCTGGCTTATAAGCCGTGGAGCACACCTCAGTGTATGTATATATAAGTGTGGGTGTGTGTGTGTACATGTGTGATGTGTGTGTGGTGTGTGTGTGTGGTGTGTGTGGGTGTGGTGCATGTGTGCACATTCATGTGTGGTGTGTGTGGGTGTGGTGCATGTGTGCACATTCATGTGTGGTGTGTGTGGTATGTGCATACATGTGTATGGTGTGTGTGATGTGTGGTGTGTGTGTGATGTGTGGTGTGTGTGGGTGTGGTGCATGTGTGCACATTCATGTGTGGTGTGTGTGGGTGTGGTGCATGTGTGCACATTCATGTGTGGTGTGTGTGGTATGTGCATACATGTGTATGGTGTGTGTGATGTGTGGTGTGTGTGTGATGTGTATGTGTATGGCATGTGTGGTGTGTATGTGATGTGTGTTGTGTGTGATGTGTGTGTGGTGTAGATGTGTGATGTGTGTGGTGCATGTGTGTGGTGTGTATAGGATGTGTGTGTGTAGTGTATGTGGTATATGTGGTGTGTATGTGATCTCTGTGTGGTGTGTGTAATGTGTGTGTGGTGCATGTGTGATGTGTGTGTTGTATGTGTGTGTGATGTGTGTAATGTGTGTGGGTGTGAATGTGGTGTATGTGTGTGTGGTGTGTATGATATATGTGTGTGGTGTGTGTGATGTGTGTGGTGCATGTTCAAGTGGTTGGTGTATGTGGTGTATGTGATGCGTGTGTGATGTGTGTGTGGTCTATGTGGCATGTGTGTGGTATGTGTTGTATATGTGTGATGTGTGTTGCTGTGTGGTGTCTGCGATGTATGTGTAGTGTGTGCGTGTGTGATGTGCACGGTGTCTGTGGTGTGGTGTGTGTGTGATGTGTGTTTGTTGGTGTGTGTGTGTTGTGTGTGTAGCATGTAGGTTGCTGTGTGTGGTGTCTGTGGTGTGTGTGCTGTGTATGTTGGTGTGTGTGATGTGTGTGTATGGGTGTGTGTGGCTAGCCCCTCTCACCATGACTGTCTTACCCACAGGCTGTCCTGGGATGTGGGACAACATCACGTGTTGGAAGCCTGCCCACGTGGGTGAGATGGTCCTGGTCAGCTGCCCTGAGCTCTTCCGAATCTTCAACCCAGACCGAGGTGGGTTTATCCCAGTCTCTTTAGGCCACGCTGGCTTAGCCTGCTCCCCAAACTCTGCCCCAGGCAAGCACCAAGGACAGGGAGGCCACCCTATAGGCAGACAGTCCCTGCTCCCGAGCTCACATGTGGTGTGGGGGATGAAACCAGAGACACGTGCACACACGGGGACACAGGTACACTTGGGGACCGTGGTTGTGGATGACAGCAAGGCTGTGTCCTCACGTATGGGATCCATGCCGGCTGTCACTCACCCTCCAGCCCCGGCCCCTGTCTGTCAGTTGGGTATGTGGCCCGGTGGCTCCCTCCCAGGTGCGTCTGTGAGGGTAACGTGAAGCGATGCTGTGGACGCCACTTAGCACAGGACTTGGCGCGTTTTGAATGTGCAGTAGTAAATGTTAGCTGAGATTATTGTCACCATCCTCCCACAGCCACAGATCCTCAGCGCCCAGTGGGAGGCATGGAGAGAGACGTGCATGTAGACACCCCCCTCAGGCAGAATGAGATGCGTGGGGAAGGCAGATGGACACAAGACACCCACATCCACATTCAGAGCCACTTAGATGCTGGCATAAGGCCCAGTGGGGCCAGCGCACACTCACGTTTGCTCAGCAGAGCATTTTCGGGGCCCTAGCTGCCCTCAGGCAGTTACATGGGCTCAAGTTGGGAGGAGCTGGGTCTTGGGCTGCCTGGGGAAAGGGTGCCACACACAGGGAACAGTGTCACAGTGCTGTCGGTGACTCGTGAACGTGGGCTTGGAGGCACGGGTGTGCGATGGTGCCTCCCTGAGAGGGAAGGCTGGGTGGGTGCAGTGTCCTGCAGACCTGGGTTCGGGGCGTATCTGTGTTTGAGGTCTCTGGGGGGCACTGAAGTGCTGTGGAGATATCCAGGGACCACCAAAATGATAGAGGAGCCCACAAGGTGGGCAGAGTGGCCGAGCTCTGTGCACAGGTGGGATGTAGGGCGAGGGCAGGGGAGAGAAGGCGATGCTCTACCTACAGGCAGAAGCCCCGGTAACCCCATCTCCATTGCAGGGGGTGTCTGAGGGGAAGGGGTAGCTGCAGATGGCTTCTTTGGATGTGGGTCCCTTGGGCTCTTCCAGAACGGTTCCTGCCTTTCGGCTGGGACCTGTGAACTCCCCCACGGGCCTTCTACCCCTTCCCTGTGAGTGTCACAGGAGGCAGGGTGGCCAACTGAAGGCACTGAGTTGGGGCTGGGCAGAGAGAGCTGGCAGGGCTGGCTCCAGCCAGGTGACTTACTGAGGCACCTCCTGGCTGTGAAGCCATGGGCGGGGGCTCCCTAGGGTATCAGAGGGGTCCGAGTTGTGTGTGGCCATGCGACCTGGCCTTAGCGTTCTTCTTTTCCAGCCTAAGGCTTAGGCTGATGTCCTTCTAGAAGAGGCAAGTTTCCAGGCTCCACTCCAGCACTGAGTCCTACCTGCTGCAGTCCCCTGTCCTCTCTGAGAGGCAAAAGGCAAATTTGCCAATTTGCTGTCAAACCTCAAATTCCAATAATCGACTCTGCCCTGGAGGGGGAGGGGCCTGCGGGAGGTGGCAGAGAAAATAGTGGCATATGTTGGGAGTCCCAGGCCCCTGTCTCTGGCTCCCACCCCGAGGTTTGTTTACATGTGCTGCACCCTGCAGCAGCAATACCTCCACCTCGAGACCACCGGCCGGCCCAGGAGGAGGGTGGCATTGAACTCTCCCATCTGAGGGCTTGGGGATTGGGTGTGACCTGAGCAGGCCAGAGTGAATTTTGAAAGAGGATACAGGCAGCGGAAGCGCTGCAGTGAGAGATGCAGTGGGACTGGAGGGCTGTCAGGCGTGGTGGCAGCCAGTGAGTGATTCAGCCTGATTTCCAATTCATTCCTGTAGAGGCCAACTTAATCACTTCCTCCATTCATGTATTTCTTTCATTCTGTCATTTCTTTAAAGTTTGTTTATTGAACGTCTACTCTGGGTCAGATTCCATGCCAGACTCCTTCTTCTTAACAACAAAAGGCAAAAATGAATCAATAGTAAAATAAGGTTTTCTTAAGATACACTTTACTCCACACTCCCTCCTTCCTCTGGCAGTGACACAATGAAGGTGTTATTTACACCTGATTCTTAATGGTTCATTAAGGCAGGGCCTTTTAGCACCTCTCTTCACAAAGCTTGATTGGTGAGACTTGCCTTGAATACTTTGCAGGGAGAGAATGGGATTCCTCTGTTTCTTCTCGGTTCCCAGGTAGCCTGTTGTGATGACTGTGGCTGTGTAGGATATTGGAGAGATTGGACATGTGGGAGCACTAATCTCCCTCCTCTTCTCAAATGCTTCAACTTGTTTCTGTTCTGGAAGTCTCCAGTGTCCCCAGCTTATAGTCCTCATGCCTTCTGGGTCCCCCAGAGCCCTCTTTAATGTTTGGGTTTGGGAAGGAGGAGGAAGTGATCAGCAAGACCCAAGGAGAGCAGCCCCTGACTTTTCTTACCCCGTTGCTCACCTCTGACTTTTCTCTCTCTCTTTCTCTCTGTTTCAGTCTGGGAGACCGAAACCATTGGTAAGAGGAACCTTGGTGAGGACAGACCGCTGTCTTTCTGTCCATCCAGCAGGAACCCAGCCTCAGGAGATCTCAGGCTCTGGCTGCTGGGATTGGGGTGGGGGTGGAATAAGAGGCTCACTGGGGATCAGGTTCTTTCCTCTTTCCTCCCTTCCCTCTCCCCAACCTTGGCCATTCTGGAAGTGGGAGGAGGAGGGGGCACAGGAAGATGCACAACACAGGCACGACCTCAGGTCCATCACAGGCTTGTTTGGGAGGATGATACTCACCAATGGAGGGGCTAAGAAACAAGCTCACACATGAGTGCAGGTGCATACATGTGCATATGCGCAGACCTGAACATGTGCATCAGTCCATGCAGATACTGACATCCCTGACAGCTAAGAAGCCGGAATGCACAGTGAGCAACAGAACAGAAGAGTGAATGATGCAGCATGCAGGCAGAATAGTGAAGAAGTCAGGGGAGGCTTCCAGGAAGAGGTGGCATGTCAGCTGGACCTTGGGAAAGGAGTTTTGAGAAGGAGGGGTGGGGTGGAAATGGGGTCTCATTTCAAGCAGGGGTTTTGGCATAAGAAAAGGGTGGAAATGGGAATAAAGAGTAGGAAGAGAGGAAAAACTGTCTGAAAATGAAGTCTTCCAGATTCCCTTTGATGAAGAGCAGTTTTGGAGGCTGAGGTGGAGGATTGAGCACCAAAAAGGAAACCCCAAGCCCTGGACCCATTTTGCTGTTTTTTGCCCATTGTTTGAAAAGGCCCAACCATCCCTTTTCATTTTCTCCCATTCCTCTCCATTCTGGAGGCCCTCCCATCCTCCTGGCAGTACCCATTGCCATTACCTGTGGTGGTGGAGAACTGAGTCCTGGACCATCCTGAACATCACAGAAATGCAAAGACAGGGAGAGTGGTGTTAGAAGGTGCAGTGTGTGAGGAAGGTGCGCGGCTGCTGTGTGTGATGTTGCCTCTTGGCGAGGACCCCATCCTCTACTTCCTGTAGACCAGGGGTAGCCTGAGCCTTCCGGGGCGGAGAGTAAACAGTAGCTAACTGTAAGCCAGGCATTTGGATACATGCCTATGTCTGTATTTTTCAGGAGAGTCTGATTTTGGTGACAGTAACTCCTTAGATCTCTCAGGTAAGGGGTTAGGCTGGGTTTGACCGTGGACTGGCTGGAGGGGAGGGCATCTGCTGATGTGTGAGCTTTGAGAACCCCATCCCAGGCTGGGCTGTGCTCCTCTGTGGCTGTGTGATCTTTGGCAGGTGACTTTTTTCTCTGATAAAGGTACAGATTATCTTCATGGAAAAGCACACAGGCAGAACATCATGTGTAGAATTTCAGGGGAGACACGGATGTCTTAGAGTCTCTTTGTGGACTTCAAATAAAGAACTCTGGGATTGACTGTTTCTGAACTCCAACATGTAGAACAGTGGCTCTCAAACTTTAACCGTGCATCACAGTTACCTCGTGCGCTTGTTAAACACAGGTTCCTGGCAGTCTGTAATTCATTCCCGCGGGGTGGGGCCTGAGAATGTGCTTGTCTCGTCAGTCTTCCAGGTGATGCTGATGGGCTGATCCCGGGACGGGCACCCCTTTGGGAAAGCTGCCTGAAAGTTTTGTGTTCCTGTGCAGTTACTGGGGCAAATCAGCCTAGTGAAGTAGGCACAATCACTGCGGGGTTTTGACAATCTCAAGAGCACTCCATCTTCCGGAGATTTCTATCAGAACAATACAGTGGCAAATTCACAGAACAGTTCTGAACAAAAGGGTTTATGTTTCTCTGAGCCCACACTGTGTTATAAAAAGGAAAAAAAGAAAGAAGGAAAATAAAAGAAAGGAAACCGCTTTTCCTTCTAGAACACTTTTTTTTTTTTTTTAAATTGTTTTTCAAAGCAGCTTCCCTTTCCTCTTCCCACCATCCTGATGTGAGCAAAGCAGAGAGGAAATGAGGCCCCAGGAGGGGAAGGAACTTGGCCACAGTGGTGATTTCCCTGGGACATTCAGACTTTCTGAAAGAAGTGTTCAGAGGGACTTAAAAGGAGGTTGCCTGAGACAGATTTGCTGGAAGAAGGGACAGTTTGGCATCAGCTGTGGGACAGAAGTGAGCTCCTTTGCTCTCCCTGGGCTTGCCAAACTTCCCCCTTAGGCTGTGCCGTAGAACTCAGAGCTGGAGAAGGGCTGGGCCCAGTCTCCCTGTTGTGGGCAGAACTCTCCTTTCTGGCAGAATTACCCACATCCCAGGAAGTTCATTTCTGACTTTCTTGGCTAAAGAGAACTGGCCTTAGATCTTCTAATGCAGGAAGCGAGGGACACAGATTGGAAAACTGGAAGGATCTCCTCTCTTGGCCTCTGCCTCCCACAGGGGCTGACCTGCTGCCCTCCTTGCCTCTTTCCTGAGCTCCCTGGAGGTGGCGTTGGCTGCAGAGGGGAGGTTTCTGTTCAACAATATGGGTACTGGAGCCCCTTTTCTACAGGTGTCTCTTGTTTTATACAATGTCCTGGTCTTTGAATGCTGTAAGGGGAAGAACCAACCACACGTGTCCCGATAGACCAGATACTTCCAGTGTCAGGCTGGGTCACACTCAGGTGCTGGGCTGGAGAAAAAGGGAGCTGCTTGCTCAGCCCCCTGCCCTGGACATGAGTGGCCCGCCATTATAAACCATCGGGTGAGGGGAGAATGAAAAAGCAATCTTGAAAGACTGGCACAGCCCCGGGCAGGGCAAAACCCAGCCTGGACTCTACTGTGCAGCCAGCACATGATTCATTTAATGGCCATGACTGATCCCACCCTCTTGAGTGTCCCACTGAATGGCCTTAAAGTCAACCAAAATAAAATTAAAGTACATTAGTGACAGGAAACAGTCCTCCCAAACTCTGAAAGACAACACTTTAAAAGAAACCCAGATATATATCTTCATAAGATCCGGCCGTGTGTTAGTGGAAATCTGGACCTTGTTAATGAACAAGCCCTGTGTCCCCTTGATGCGAGATGTTGCAGCTGCTGTGAGGCTCAGAGCACCAAGGGGAAGCATCACATCAAACCGTGTTCCCAAGGTGTGCCAAGGACCCCACCCACACCCTGCAGTCACCAGAGGGCATTCCTGAAAGTGCCCAGATCTCCTGACGGAGAATCCCTAAGGGCAGGCCTGGAATCTGTATTTGTAATCAGTCTCCAAGGTGGTTTTGCACACTGACGTTTGAGAAGTGCTGATCCAGGGCCCAGGGGAGGACTCAGGCCCATCTCTGATGAGCATTTGGAAATGTTCCAGAGGGGAGGGACTCAGGGATGCTGAAGTCAGCTGGTGCAGTCTCCCCATCTTTGGTTGAGATGAGCTTGCTCCTTGTCTCTCCATCTCTCTGATCAGCAATCACTGATTTCTGAAACCTTTCCCCATGCTTCCCAGTTGGTCTTAGGGGTTTCCAGGAATTCCCACTGAACACGTCATTTTTGCATTAGAATTTCAGGGCCCTCTTAATCATTTCTGGGCCTCGCTGAGTTTTCTTTTTGCTGCAGACATGGGAGTGGTGAGCCGGAACTGCACGGAGGATGGCTGGTCGGAGCCCTTCCCTCATTACTTTGATGCCTGTGGGTTTGATGAATATGAATCTGAGACTGGGGACCAGGTGAGTGTCTGCACCCTGCTCCTCAGAGGTGATGAGGGTGGGGCTGAGGAAACTTAGGTCAGTAGGCAGCATTCATGAGCACCTGCCGGGGCTGAGAAGCAGCTGGGATGCTGCCTACTCCTCCCCACCTACACCTGGCTGCTCTTCCAGGATACTGGAATTAATGCCACTGGGTTAATGCCAGGCCCAGCAGGGGGCTTCCTGGACCTTTGTGCAGGCCAAGGCTGCGGTCTGTTCTGATTGGACAGCGCTCTTGCCTTCAACAGCATGTGCTGAGCATCTGCAGAATGCTGACACTGTGCAAAGGGGAGTAAGAGGCTTGGCCAGGGATAGGAGGTGGTGGAGATGACATCAGCAGAAGAGAGGAAGGAGGAGCTAGGCCTGGAGGTGGGCAGGCCCTGGCCTGGGAGACTGCGTGCAGGCCCGAGGCAGGCTGGCTGTGGGCAGGTCTCACATGAAGTCCTGCCTGTCCTGTGATCTCCTTCAGGATTACTACGTGTCAGTGAAGGCCCTCTACACGGTTGGCTACAGCACTTCCCTCGTCACCCTCACCACTGCCATGGTCATCCTGTGTCGCTTCCGGTGAGACCCTCAGCAACATTCAAGCAAGCACCAGAACTGGCCAGGGCCTCGGAGGCCTTGGCCCATCTCTCCCCTCCCCCTTGATGTCAGCCCTAGAAGACCCCTTGGAAGGCATTTCCCCGACCCCAAGGATAACAGATGGGAAACTTCACCCCAGAGAGGGCAACTGACTTGTACAGGGCTATGCAGCCAGCCAGAGCCTGGGCAGGAAATCTGCATTCCTTGCTTTTGTCTTCCTGGTCTAGATAGTCAGAGGCCACAGGAGGGAGAAGTCTGGCCATGTGGGGTGGTGGATCTGGGTTCTAGGGGCCTGAAAGTCAGTGAGGATTTAGAGGTTGGCAGAAGGGTGGCCTGGGTGGGAGACCTGCTGAGATAAAGCCACAGAGTTGGCCCACCACAGATGCCCACATAGAGGGTGGGTGTGAAATGCTGTGGGGTCCAAGGCTTCTTTCTCCCCTGGTCCACTCATGTAGGAAGCTACACTGCACACGCAACTTCATCCACATGAACCTGTTTGTGTCGTTCATGCTGAGGGCGATCTCCGTCTTCATCAAAGACTGGATTCTGTATGCGGAGCAAGACAGCAACCACTGCTTCATCTCCACAGTGAGTGAGCTGAGCAGGCCCATTAGGGCTCTGCCTGGAAGGCCCTGCACCATCCCCTTGGTTCCCTAGGACGCACATTACCTGCCTAGACATCCTGCAGGTCAAGTGTGTTCCTGCAGGTGAAGGCATTGCCCCACCACCCCTGGTTTATGTGAAAACTCATGAATTAAGTTACTAGTAGGCGATGAGCCAATGTACGACATCACTTCCAGCCAAAATGTTTCCTGTCTCTTACCCTGGGTGTTTCATTTGGCAAGGCAGTGGAGGAAGGTCAGCTGGGAACACCAAATCCCACTTGACTGACGAGGAAACTGATGCTGAGAGAGGGCTTACCCAGCCCCTGGTCATTTAACTAGCCTGGGATGGAGCCCAGGTGCTGATTGGCCAGAGGTCTTTAGAGACACCTCCCCAGGTCTCATACCTCTGGAGGAGGTAGCATGCGGAGAAGCTGGTCTTTGAGGAGGTAAGTTAGGAAGAAGAGTGTAAAGTCCAGGGCCTTGACCAGAGGACATGCTTGGGGAGCCTCTATGAGTAGAGAGTTCTGGAAGCCAGGCATATGTATCCCCCCACCAGAAAGGTGTCCAAATCCTCATTATACCAAGGAGCCTCCTGCAGGGTCCTCTGGCTGATTCTCTCCTTCCTCCCCTCCTCTGTGGGAGATAGGGTAGGAGCAGGAAAGTGAAGGAGGATGAGCTAGTCATGAGGAAGCTCTGTGTCTGCCACCTGTTTTTGTCCTGTGTGTGCAGTTTTGCCTCCATGAACAGCTTTGACTCAGAATCATGGGATGCTGCAATTTTCAACTCTTTGATCCAGGAATATTGACTCTCTTAGATCCTTGGGATGTTTGAGCCTGAGGATGCCAGAGCCAAAGGGCCCTAGGATTCTCCCCTGCTCCTGTTCCTGTTGGGCTCACGCCCCTCACCCTGGTGCTTCTCCTTGCAGGTGGAATGTAAGGCCATCATGATTTTCTTCCACTACTGTGTTGTGTCCAACTACTTCTGGCTGTTCATCGAGGGCCTGTACCTCTTCACTCTGCTGGTGGAGACCTTCTTCCCTGAAAGGAGATACTTCTACTGGTACACCATTATTGGCTGGGGTAGGTTCCTGGCTGTGGCTTGGACAGGCTCAGGTCCTGTGGTCAGGTGTGTCCAGGTGTGTCTTTGGTTCCGCCCTCAGGAAGTGTCAGGTGAGGAGGAGGCACTGCCCTGCCCGAGTCTAATGGCCTAGGCTCTTTCTTGGACTCTTTCTCATTCTTCTTGCCTGTGGACAGCCCACTGTCTCAGGGTGGAGTTATGCCCAGGAGTCCTCTGAGAGATAAGACAGCCCTTGGTCTGAGGGAGATATAGACCCTTAGGAGGCCTGGGTGTGAGGAACAGTTAGAATTCCCAGGAATTCCAAGTCTCATGGGGGAACGAGAGCCTCTGGGAGCCCCAGGTCTGCAGTGGACATTGGCCATATTGGTTTTCCTGTTCTCATGGACCTCTTTTTCTTGTTCTCCCAGGGACTCCAACCGTGTGCGTGACGGTGTGGGCTACACTGAGACTCTACTTTGATGACATAGGGTTAGTACACGCTCAGGAGTCAAGGCCACAGCACAGAGTAGATTCTTACAGATGGGTTCTCAGTAGCTGCCCTGACTTCACATGAACTGCCCCCAACACACCATTCAATGCCAGGCCCAGACTAAAGCCCAGCACTGGGCACCACCTGAGCCCTGGCCCCATGTAGGTGACCCACCCAGCTGCGTCTCAGCCAGCAACCCAGCAAGAGAATGTGCTAGGTCTCTGAGCCCTCGTCTACTTCTGCACTCAGCTGAGTGTCTGTTTTCCTTTTAGGGAGGGGTGGAAGCATGTTGAGGGGGAGGTCACATCCTAAGAGCTGTAGGTCTTATGGGGAAAAATGGTCCTTTCCTAGGAGCTCACTGGTGATCCTGACTTTTGGGCTTCATGCCCTGCCTTGATAGGTGAGCGGAGGGAAAGATAGAGGCTCAGAAGGAGGGGATTTTCAGAGCCAGGACCAGGCTGGAGTCTGCAGCCCGCTGGAGAGCTCTTCTTCTAGCCAGAGCTCTCTTCTCCTCAGAGAGCTGCAGTGGTGAAAGTGTTGGGCGCCCAGCTAGATGGGGCAGTGTCCTGCAGGCTTCTATGCTGCCGACTCACGGACGCGATCTCGCTTCTCTCTGTCCATCTTTCAGTTGCTGGGATATGAATGACAGCACAGCTCTGTGGTGGGTGATCAAAGGCCCTGTGGTTGGCTCTATCATGGTGAGTGTCCTTGGGATGAAGAGGAAAGAAAGAGACAGGGTCCTGGGCAGAAAGGCATGTAAGGAAGAGAAATGAAAGAGTCCCCACACAACCCTGACTTCCTCCTCCGTCATGGCTGCATGATAATCTGTAACAGGGATGCACAAACTCTTTAGCTATTCCCCTAGCACTGGAGATTTAGATTATCCCATTTTTTCCTTATTACAAAAGATAGAAATAGTTTTGTGCATAATTTTGAGCATGTGGAAATATTTCTTTAGAATAAATCCTTAGAAGTGGAATTACTGGGTTGAAAGGGGTACACGTTTAAAATTTCAGATCCCAAATTGCTTTGCAAAAACCCTTTAACAATTTATGCCTCCTGAGGAAGAGTGGCTCACTTCCCCATTTCCTTGTCTACACTTATAATATCAATCATTTAATTTTTTGCACAGGTTTATGGAGGATTGCTGGCTTCTAATTTTAATGTACATTTCTCCATCTCGCTAGGGTGACTGAGCATTTGTTTCCAAACATTAATTGGCAATTTGTTGTTATTGTGGATATTCCTGTTTATTTCTCTTGTTCAGTTTTCTATCAGATTTTATTAGTTACAGTTTAAAGGATAGTTAACACTTCCTATGTTGTATATGTTGTAAGTATATTGCGATTTCTGCGTAGCATTTATACAGTCAAATGGTCAAGATTTCTCTTAGTTAATTCCAAGCCTTATTTCTGGTTGATGGAGGCCTTTCCCAACCCAAGATATAAAAGTGTTATTCTTGTTTCATAACACTTTTGTGGATGTAAAACAAAGTCTACACGTTTTGTGGGCTATTACATGTGCATCTTCAATCCAGCTGAAATTTTATTGTTTTGTCTGGTCTGAAATGATATTCAATTTCATCTAATTTTATTTTTTCAATGGATGGACATCCTACCCTCTCAATCCTTTTTATTGAATCCTTTTTCCATTATGTTGAAATGTCATTTTATTATAAACACTCAATATACTGGTCTTTGGTTCCAGACTTTCTATTCTAGGTTACTAATCTATTTGTCCGTTCCCATGGCAGATGCACCATTATGCTAGTTACTGTAACCTTGTAGCATGTTCTGGTATGCAGATTATCCCTTCATTATTCTTTTGTTTTCTTCAAATTTTCCTTGCACGTTTACTCTTTCTGGTGTACTTTTGAATATCCTTGTCAAGTTGCACCAAACAAGTGTAATTAAGATTTGTGTAGGAATTGCATTGCATTTACAGACTAATTTGGAAGAGAATTTATTTTCTTAAAAGACTGAGTCATCCTCTCCAAGAATGTGGCATGATTCTCCAAGTATTCAGTCTTTCTTACAGAGTCATTTTGGTTAAGCTTTTTAGTTTTCTTCCCTGTTCTTGCTATGTTTACCTCTAAGGTGTTTTCCAGTTTGGGCTTTAAGTGGGTCTGGGAATCATTCTTTCATTGTATTTTCTAATAGACTATTGCTAGTGTACGGGAAAGCTATTGTTTTTTATGTATTGTGTCTTTTCTTAGTTATGCTTCTGAACTCTCTTACTGGTTTTTATACCTTTTCAGTTGGTTCTCCTGGATTTTCTAGGCAGAAAATTATATAATCGTCAAATGAAAATAGATTTTGCTCTTTCTTTCCAGTGTTTACATCTTTTAGCCCTTGTTTTTGTAGGGATGGTGTTTGCTCTAGTTTTGGCAGTTACCCCTCATTGAATCGGGAAAGTTTTTCTTGTTGGCTTCAGTGTTTCTTTGTTGTTGTTGTTTTGTTTTTTGTTTTTTTAAAATCAGGAATTGGTGACAAATTGTATCAAATGTGTTTTGGAGGCATTCATTCAAGTAATCATTTATTTAGTAATGGATATTTATAGTATTCCAGTTTTTCTTCGTTATGAACAGTGCCACAATGAACGTATTTGTGCATATCTTGAGCATATGTGAATATGTCTTTAGAATAAATCTCAAGAGTGGAATTTCTGGGATGAAGAGTATGTACATTTAACATTTTCATGCAGATCAGATTGCTTTCAATGAGCAAGGTACAAGAGCGCTCATTTCCCATGTCTTTGCTGAATTACACTTGCTGGTCTTATGGGGGATAATGGAAGCTCGTTGTTTTAGTCTGTTACTGTAACAAATATTAGATTTTTGGGGGTGCGTTTTTGGGGTAAAACCTTTATTAACATGATCTGTTTATTCTTTTACTGTATTGATAAATTTTGTTTTTTAATACTTTGTTTAAAGTTTTTGGCATTGTTCATAAAATTCTGCGGTCTTAGGTACGCATGTGTGTATCTGTGTGTTTTCTCTCCTCATTCTGTTTTCGTAGCAAAATTTTGTTAGCCTCATAGGTAATCCTGAAGGTTCTTTTTTGTTTTGTTTTGTTTTTTAATTTGCCTTGAAACAATTAAGCAGTATGTCAATTACATCTTTCTTAATGTTATTCTGGAACTGGTCTATAAAATTATCTAGACCTGGTACCTTTTAATGCATACACCTTTAACTACTTTTTAATTTCTTCTGAGGTTATTGTTCTACTTAGATTTTCTATTTCTTCTTAAGTTGATTTTGTTAATATTTGTTTCCTCATTTTGTTCAATTTTCTCTCATCATTTAAAATATTGTGTGTGTTTATTGTCTTGCCATCTTTCTCATTCCTAAATATGTTTAATTATATTTTTTCCTTTTTCATTGACTAACACATACAGTTAGCAGTATTACTAAGTACCAGGTATTGATTTTTTTTCATTTTTTAAAAAATAATTTCAACTTTTATTTTAGATCCAGGGAATACACGTGCAGGTTTGTTACATAGGTATATCACATGATGCTGAAGTTACAGGCACAGTTGATCCCATCACCCAGGTAGTCAGCATAGTACCCAATAGTTAGTTTTTCGACCCTTGCCCCCCATCCTCCCTTGCTGTCTAGTAGTTCCCAGTGTCCATTGTTGCTGTCTTTATGTCCATGAGTACCCAATGTTTAGCTCCCACTTCTAAGTGAGAACATGTGGTATTTGGTTTTCTGTTTCTGTGTTAATTCACTTAGGATAATGGCCTCCAGCTGCATCTATGTTGCTGTAAAGGATGTGTCTACATTCTTTTTATGGCTATGTAGTAGTCCATGGTATATATGTGCCACATTTTCTTTATCCGGTCCACTGTTGATGGGCACCTAGGTGGATCCCATGTCTTTGCTATTGTGAATAGTGCTGTGATGAACAAACCAATGCATAAGTCTTTTTTGTAGAATGATGTATTTTCCTTCGGGCATATACTCAGTAATGAGATTGCTGGGTCTAATGATGGTTCTGTTTTAAGTTCTTTGAGAAATCTCCAAACTGCTTTCCATGATGGCTGAATTAATTTACATTCCCACCAACAGTGTTTCCATGTTCCTTTTTCTCTGCCGCCTCCCCAGCATCTGTTGTCTTTTGACTTTTTAGTAATAGCCATTCTGACTGATGCGAGATGGAGTCTCACTGTGGTTTTGATTCTCATTTCTCTGATGATTAGTGATGTCGAGCATTTTTTCATATGTTTGCTGGCTGCTTGTACATCTTCTTTTAAGAAGTATCTGTTTATATCTTTTTCCACTTTTTAATAAAAGTATTTGTCTTTTGCTTGTTGAATTGAGTTCCTCATAGATGCTGGATATTAGACCTTTGTTGGATGCATAGTTTGCAAATATATTCTCCCATTCTGTAGGTTGTGTGTTTGCTCTGTTGACAGTTTCTTTTGCTATGAAGTTCTTTAGTTTAATCAAGTCCCACTTGTCAATTTTTGGTTTTGTTGCAATTGCTTTTGAGGAGAAAGCTATAAATTCTTTCCCAAGGCCTATGTCCAGAATGGTGGTTCCTAGGTTTTCTTCTAGGACTTTTATAGTTTGAGGTCTTACCTTTAAGTCTTTAATTCATCTTTAGTTAAATTTTGAATATGGTGTAAGGAAGGGGTCCAGTTTCACTCTTCTGCATATGGTGAACCAGCAATCCCAGCATCACTTACTGAATAGGGAATCCTTTCCCCATTGCTTATTTTTGTAAACTTCAGACACTGATCAAACTGGGCATGTAGCAGAGAACAAGATTGACAGAATCCTGCCCTCATGGAACAGGCTTTGTCATTAAATTTATCTGTAAAAACCAACAAACAAGATAAAAGCAAAAATAAAACTTTATTTTTATTGATCAGTTCTCCTATTTTTTCTTATTTCTTTCTGATAATTTTTTATAATTATTAATTTCTTTCTTATATAAGTTACATTTGTGGTAATCTTTCCCTAGCTTTTGATTTGAATGCTTAAGTGTTTTCCAGTATTTATTATTTTTTTAATCAGTTAGTTTTTGGCTCTTCATTTTCTTCTCCAAGGGCTGCTTTGGCTACACCCAAAGGATATTGTGTAGTCCTGTGTAGGCCTGTCATTGTGCCTTGTTTCTGTTTCTTTGCTCCCCTTCCTCCTCCTCTGTGACTGTTCACATAGCTTCCTACTTTGTTGAGGAAGCTTTTGTCCCCAGTCTTTATCTGAAGGCAATGCTACCATTGCCACTCCCAGGCAGCCCTTTAATTAGCAATGCCTATGGCTGTCCATTCTGGTTCCCCATATTTGATGACTCTGAACTTGGAATTTCTCTAAAGAACAACTCTCACTTCTGCAATAGCCTTACTTTATCTCTTTTGGGCTGTAGTTTTCCCATCACCCTGATCCTGTTTTCTCTTTCTCTTTTAGAAATGGTTTACTTTTCTGACTTACTCATGATGTCCTTTCCTATTTCCCGTACTTCTATGGAATTCTTTTTCTTCTATCTCTTCCTTCATTTCAATGATACTGTGGGAGGCTGGAGAGAGAAATGCGAGTTATCATGCCGCCATCTTGGATTAAAAGTGTAGATGGGATCTTGACTAGGTGGGGGAGGGTCCTGCTGGAGGAATAATAGCCTATGCTGAGGCAGAGGTATAGAAAGTCTTTGCCCAGAATCATGTCCATTTGCTTTTTTTTTTTTTTTTTTCCGCTCCTCAGGTTAACTTTGTGCTTTTTATTGGCATTATCGTCATCCTTGTGCAGAAACTTCAGTCTCCAGACATGGGAGGCAATGAGTCCAGCATCTACTTGTAAGTACCATTGTGTGGATGCCACAGCCATTGCTGACAGCCGCGCGGGCCCTGCATTCAGGTCACAGGCAGAAGAAGGCCTGTGCTTTGCTGATAGGGTGACCTAGCATCGGCATTTGCAGATCTTCTTCTGATTAAACAGCCTTTAATATAGTTGCCCTTCCAGCATTAAGCAAACCCAGGAGCTCTTCAGCTGCATGACCATGATATGGATGGGCAGGAAGAGAGAGAGAGGGAGAGGGGGGGAGAGAGAGAGAGAGAGAGCAAGAGAGAGAGAGAGAGAGAGAGCCTGACAGAGAGACTGACTAGGAGTCAAGATGGAAAACACCAGATTTCTTAAGGGAGGTAGGTTCTTGGTTGGTTAGAAGTTGAATTTCCTTTGGGGTTCCTGGTTCTATGGGAAGCTCATGAATACCTTTGATACACTGTTGCCTGATATTCCCACCCCCAGCCCAGACTGTGGAAGTTGCCCAGTTCCCACTAGGGAGTCAGGTGGACACATTTTCACTGGTCTGGGTGTTGGAAGGGGGGTACTTTCTTTCCTCCACTGGCCCTCAGGGCAGCTCTACCTCTGCATGTGGTCTTATTTCTTCAACTCCTTCCTTTCCGATGAACATCTGATTGTTTGAGGATTCTTGGGTTAGAGGGCAGCCTCTTACCATAGAGCGTAGGGCTTTCTCCACTTCATGGCCACTTGATTTGCAAGAAGTATTTCTGCAGTCATGTCCCTAACAGCCTATCTTTGCCTGCCCTCTCCCACTTCTCTCTGCCCTGTCTCATTCTGAAATCAGACAGAGCACCTTCTACCTCCCATCTCTGGCCTTGTGAATGGGAGCATGACCAGCTGGGTGTGTGGGGTATGAGGACATTTCTGATGCTGGGGAGGAAGGTTGGTAGTCCCCTGTGGTTGGCTGGTGGGGGTGGATGGGCACACTCTGGTTCTGAGGGCAGTCCCTGGGGTCCATCTGCTGGTAAGGCAAAAGCCCTATGTGTGGCTTCCTCTGCTCCTTCGGAAGAAAGCAAGTGAGGAGGAGCTGAGGTATCTTCACTAGGTGCGTCACTGGGTGCATGGTACTGCCTTTATCAGAGACGTGGGTCACAACCTTGATGGCTGCCCTGTGGGACAGATGACAAGTGGGACAGTGAGAGATCCCAGTACAGGGCTCCCCTAGGGCCCCCTTCCTCAGTCATTCTCCTAGGGGGAAGAAGCAGGAACTGCTCAGGGACCAAATCCCAGATCCTTCCCTAAGGCTCCTTGAGGCTTCCTTAGGGAGGTGGAGCTTGCTCTTGGTCTGTCAATCTGTTCAGCCTGGGGACCTCCCCATGTGAAACCCTTTCTCAGGGGTGGGGGACTAGCACAGGGCCTGAGGTGTTCAGCCAGGTTTTTTCTGCCTATGCAATGATTACGTCACATTGGAAAAAGTACTTTTTTTTTTTTTTTTACTATCCTTTTACTGTTTTTATTTTCATGGTTTTGCTAGTTTTTACCAATTCTTGCTTATATGTGTATATTATGTAGAGGAAAATTATTCATCAATATAAATCATAAAGTCTTAGAGGCCCTGCACTGTGGGGTGGGAGGCCAGCCCTCTGCTACTACATAACCTGCCCTAGATATATCATTCCTGCCTTCATCTCAAGGATTCGCAAAATAGGGCCCCGCTGCTCGCCTCATTTCCTGTCTAGTGTTGGACACTGCCCTTGTGTCTGGCCTCAGTTTCTCCTACTTGGGTGTGGATCTGGTCACACACTAACAGTTGTCTCCCATATTTGAAGCTGGCAGGGAGCTAAGTCAACCTCATCTCTCATTTGAGCTCTAGTGGTCTTGATTTCCTCCCCTTCCTAGTAGGATTTGTTCTTCTACTGAGGGCCCCCAGCCTCTTCTCTGGGGGGTCCTCTCAGCTTTCCATACTAAATAGGAGACCCTACTGAACCCTGAACACACTTTGCCAGTTCAGACATTCTGCTTTGGGCAGCAAGAATCCCCAGGGCCTGGTGGGAAAGAAGTGTGAGCCAAGGTTTCAGGTTCTCCACACACAGGAGCCTTGAGTCTTGTTAGGTCTTCCTAATGCATAGATAAAGGCTACTTGTAATTAGCATATGGTTGATACATTTAAGTACTCTATTAATCTGGGACATTTAAAGATCCAGCTAGTTGGTTTGCTTCTGGCATTAAAAAACAAATCGCTTTGCAATCTCAGCAAATCCTTTTTTTTTTTTTTTTTTTAGAGAAAGCCAAACCTCTGCTAGTCTTGAGTGCCCATGATTAAAAACTCAGATGGATGAAGTCTGTGAGCCAAGTGGGAGTGCCCACAGAGGACAGGGGATCAGCTTGATCCCATTCTGTCCAGCAACATGTTTGAGTGACAGGGTCATGGAGACCCTGTCGGCCAATGTGAGTAGTAATCCAATTGACCACACTGCTAAGAGCTGTAGGTCACTTGGAAATACTCACGACCACATCCATGCACATTTAACACCCGCAAACATCCAGCGAATCTGGTGGAATAGGTAAGCCACTGTCAAATAGAATCACCATGTTACAGCTGAGGGAACTAGTTATCAGTGAAGTGACATGAATCCAGCAGGAAGGAGGATGCCATGGCTATGGTGCGGGCAGGCCTTTCACCCCAAGCTTGACAGCACCATCATCGCTGCCCTCAAGGAATGCACAGATGAAAAGATAGCATTAAACAAGGGTACAAAATTAGGCTTCCTGGAAGAAGAGGCCCCTGGTGGGTTCTAGCCTGTGTGAAAGCCCCCTCAGCCCAGAGTACTTGGCAGAGCTGGCTTTGAGCTGGGAGGTGTCTGCACTGGGAGGAGGGGAGAATGCCAGGCTCAGGGGAGGTGAGAGGGCAGGGATTGAGGGGAGAGGGAGATTCCAGGGCTGTGCCGGAGTCCCCTGGGGTACCAGAGTTATGTGTGGGGCCGAAAAGCCCCTTCAGATCTGCCCACAACAGCTCTCCGGTTTTTTCCTCTTGTTTCCAGAACAAATTTAAGCCCGCGAGTCCCCAAGAAAGCCCAAGAGGACCCCCTGCCTGTGTCCTCAGACCAGCATTCACTCCCTTTCCTGTAGGTTGGTTCCTGCTGCTCAGGTGATAAGGGTTTGTCCTCCATAGACCAAGACGGTGTTCCTGACCCAGCCTCAGAAGCACCTGTTGGGGTCTGGGACCTCTGCAGGGGGACGGTGGCACTGAGCCACTCCTCCTCTCTGACTGATGCTCCTGGTAGGATGAGTGGCTGGGGACAGGACTTGGGAAGTGGGCATCCGGGGCTGGGTCAGGGCTCAGCATGTGCTCAGGGTCAACTTGGTCTGGGGCAGGGGTGAGGGGGGTTAGGGCTTAGCCCTCAGCGGGGGTTGGCACTCAGCCTCAGGTAGGTCAGGGTTAGCTGGAGTTGACCTCTGTGAGCAGGTAACTGGTTCAGAAAGGGGAGAGGTGAGGCTTCCAGGGTAGACATTAACTGTTCGGGGAGAGCCTCCGCCCCCTGCCTTGAAGTGAGCGGCTTCATTCCAGGGGCCACCTCCCTGGAAGACAAGCATTGGAAGCTGCAGCTTAGGTGGAGGAGGGAAAACCCATCTGTACTCCCATGGGGTCTCTTTGGCCCCACTGGGGAGGATGCACACATCTCTGGAGATGGCTGTGCCGGGGCCAGGCATAAGTGCAGCCAGGCAGCTTTCAGTCTAGGGACTTCCTCCATAGCCAGAGGCTTCCAGCTCACACAGCCTCCATCTTCCACCTCCACAGCACCTCCTCCCCTGCCGAGGAGCACCCGATCCTCAAAGTTCATGTTAGGGGCCGGCAGCAGGGAATTGTTACCCTCATGTTGCAGACAGAGAAACTGAGGTCCAGAGAAGGAAAATGGCATCACCTAAGATGACCCAGCAGTCAGTGGCTGAGCAAAATCCTGAACTAGGGTGCCCAGACTTCCCAGCTGGGACCCTTCTGGGCTGGCCAGGAGTGTGGAGGGGTGGCTCGTCCTTGTGGTTGGGGAGGAGGTGGTGGTGGGTAGGAAGTTCCCAGGATCTGTGAGCTGTGCTGCTAGTGGGGTGCCAGTGTGTAGGGAGTACTTCTGGGACTGGGCAAGGCTCTGGGGGTGACATAGCATCTTAGTATCAGGAGAGACCCTATGGAGTGTGTTCAGCTCAGTCCACCACATTCTGTGGACCGCCAAGTGGCCAGCACCACATTGATCCCTAGGACTGCAGACGTGAAGAAGAAAGGGATGCTGCCTGCAAAGGGCTCCCTGCAGGTGTCCCTGTCTAGCGTTTCTCTGGGTGTTTCCCAGGGCTGTAGCCCAGCCAGCCCTGCACACAACAGCTGCGGAAGCATTTCTGGAGTTTGGCCCTCATAGAAACTGTGTGCTGGATCCCTGGCTGACAGATGTGAGTGCCGAGACATGGAAATGGCTGTGACCTTCCTGCGGACACACAGTGAAGCTGTGGTGGAGCCAGTCCTGGAGGCCAAGACTGTCTGACTGGCAGATGTGGGGGTGGGTCCTGCACCTGTGAGAGGGTCTCCCACTTTCTGAGTCAGGCTGCTCTGCTCTCCAGACAGCCCCACCCAACACCCTTGCCTGAGCTTTTAGTCTCTTTTGGATCCAACTCAGAGTTTATCGCATCAGCCAGTCTAGGTTCATCTCTTCTTCCTGACTTAATTTATTTTCCCTTTTCCCTAACTGTGACTTTTCAGAGATTCTGACATCTTTCTGTCTCCCGCCCCATCTCTGGCTTTCCTGCACTGTTTGTTCTTTTTCTTTTCCATGAGTCCTTTTGGGCAGAGCCATTGAAGGTTTGGGGAAAGACTTTTCCTTAGACTCGTCTCCTTCAAGAGCCCTCCAGGGTCAGTCCTCCCCCAAGCTGCTCCTTGATCTGCCCTCCCCGACCCCCATCAGTGCCACACAACTTCACCAGGTGCAGAGTTTCCCAGGAACTTGTCACTAAATGGTCTTTGGAATACTTTCAAAGAAACCTTAACAAAATCGGAGGATTCTGTGTTTACCATAGAAACATCTAGGGTCCAAGAGGGACAGGAACAATCTTGAAGCTAAAGAAAGCAGGACTGCAGAGGAGAACTTCAGAATTTGGGGTGAAGGTTTAAGCTTGGCATGTAGGAAGCAACAGCTGAAGTTGGGGGGTCTCCTGGACCCTGATTTCTGTGGTTTACCCAAGCCAAGGTTGAGGGGTCACTGGCCATAGGAGAGAATAACCAATTATTATCATTTTGAGACAGAGTCTTGATCTATTGCCCAGGCTGAAGTGCAGTGGCATGATCTTGGCTCACTGCAACCTCTGCCTCCTGGGTTCAGGTGATTCTCCTGCCTCAGCCTCCCAAGTAGCTGGGACTACAGGCACCTGCCACCACACCCGGCTAATTTTTTGTATTTTAGTAGAGATGGGGTCTCACCATGTTGCCCAGGCTAGTCTCAAACTCCTGAACTCAGGCAATCCACCTGCCTCAGCCTCCCAAAGTGTTGGGATGACAGGCGTGAGACACTGAGCCCAGCCTGAGACTAACCAACTTTTCAGCTAGGGCAAGGTACATAATAAATTTGAAGAATAGAATAGGTACCATTTCTGTATACCCAGTTAAGCTCTTTTAATGGAGAAAAACATACTTATTTGAGTCTGTCTCTTTGTATGTGTGCGAATAGACCTTTGACATTCATTGAGGAATCATGAAGAAGCTTCTCAGGTAGATGAATACCTCCTAACAGTGCTTCTCAAGCTTTGGCATGCATGTGGCTCTCCCAGGGATCTAGTTAAAAGTGCAGATTCTGACCACAGGTCTGAGGTGGCACCTAGGATTCTGCATTTCTAAGAAGCTCTCAGGGGGTGTTGGTGTTGATGGTCTGGGGGTGGCAGTCTGAGTAGCAAAGCATCAAACCAAACCTCAGCATTCCTCTTCTGGAAAAGGGGATCTGTAGTTCCCACCTCGCAGTGTAGTGTGAATTGAATGGTGCTGTTTATTGAATGGGAACCCCAAATCCATTATGCACAGATGTCGGGGGAACCTGGGTTTGCCCCATCTTGGAAGTGTGTGACACAAATTCTGGCCTTAGCGAAATGACACGTCACCACCTGTCAGGTACCTTCAGGCTTACTCTTAAAGAACTGGAATCACACAAGGCAGATCCTGAATGCTAAGGGTGTGGTCTCTGTAGCTATCCTCATTTGCATCAGGTCCAATCTGATTTATTAATTCACTGACCAGCACCAGGAGCCTCAGAGCTGTGTGGTACCTGAGGAGAGTTAACGAAGTAGCAACCCTTCTGCAATCTGAGAAGATGATACAGCTCATCATCTATCTCTGACACATCTGTGAGAGAAGGGGAAAGTGTTCATGGCTTGTGTCAGCCCAAGTCCAAGCAGGACCATACTGGAGACACAGAGAGTCAGCCTGAGACCTCCCTGAGGAGACAGAAGTCCTGGGTCCACCCAGGAGAGTGTAGAGCGAGATTGCAGCCTGGGTCCCCCTCCTTGAAGTGGTTTGTTTCTGAAAGCCATGGGACCGTGCCCAAAGGCGCTCCTCTCAGTCTTCAGCCCCTGCCCATTGAACTTTTATCAAGAAGTCCAGCCCAGCACTGTCCCCGAGAACTCCCTACAGTAATGGGCATGTCCTATGTCTGTGCTGTCCGATATGATAACCACTAGCTCCATGTGGCTGTTGAGCCCTTAAAATGTGACCAGAACAACTGAGGATGTGGGTTTTTAATTTGATTAATTTAAATTCAAATAGCCACATATGGGTAGTGGCTGTCGTATTGGAATAGTTTAGGTCTGGATGAATTAACAACCCATTCAATCTGACTTACCTCTGTCCCCTGTGTATATGCTGATTCTGAGTTGCTGGGAAGCTCAGAGGGAAGAAGCTATGGACCAGAGGAGAGGGAGAGGGTAGAGGGGAAAGACCAGTGGATGGACACCCAAGTTGACCTTCACAGCCAAGCCCAGAACTGGCCTGATTAGAGGCTCAGGTTGCCTGTGCTAGGCAGTGCAGAAGGTCCACAGTGTGAGTTTCCAACTCTTGTCTTGTTGAGTGGGACCTCGACGAGGCTGGGCTCTTAAGCTTGGAGCCAACTCTGGAGGCAGCCCTGACTCCCTGTGTGAGACCTAGCCCAGGCCACCTTCCGGATACACACACCCTCTAAGCCCACCTACCTATCAGTGGTCCCAGTGTGAGTGTGAGTGCGTGCGCGCGTGTGTGTGCGGCCATGCACACTCATGTCCACATATAGGCGTGCGTTTCTCTGTCCAGAGCTGCCCATGTCTTGGCCCTTGGCTCCCTCATTCTCCTCCATGTGACTGCCCTGGCCCTGTCTCCATACCCTCTTCTTTTCTGCCTAACCTGTAAACTGAGTTTCTTCGCTGCCTGGTGCCCCCCAGCTGACAGAAGTGCTAATCTTGTCACACCCAGCAGCTGCGTGCAGAAATGCTACTGCAAGCCACAGCGGGCTCAGCAGCACTCTTGCAGGATGTCAGAACTGTCCACCATTACTCTGTAAGTGTGCGTGGCCGACGCTGTGGCCAGGAATCCTGGAGGGGTGGGGGACGCATGCTGCCACTGCCGCTGCTGGAGGAGAGTGGAGAGCCAGCCTGTGCCTCCCAGGCCAAACCCATTCCTGGCTGTTGCATGTTGGTGTCTGTGTGTCTTGTGAGTTCTCTGCAGCCTCATGGTCATGGGGTGGGTGTGCAGGGCATGGGGATGGATCTACGGCCATTGTGAGTGCTTTCTGAGGAGGCAGCACCCCATGTTCTCTGCTGCTGCTGCCTGGTGTGTGGCCTTCCTCAGTCCCCACCTTCTCTGAGCTTCAGTGTTTTCAACTGCAAAATTATTTCCAAGAGTCTCAGAGCCTGAGTTCATATAGACCTTCCCCCTGCACAGGGCAGGGAACTCCACTCCAGTGTCCATAGCACTTTGTGTGTGAGTCAGCATTAACTCACTTAATCCCCACAACAACTCTGTGAGCTGGGTCCTTGTATCATCACCATTTTACAGATGAGAAAACTGAAGTGCTGAGAGATTAAGTCACTCACTCAAGGACCGCTAATTGGCAGAGGGAGGATTTGAACCCAGGGAATCCTAAGCACTTTGCCCCAGGGAGTCTCTGGCTGGAATATCAGACTCAATTTGGACATTCCTTTTACTCAGGGTACCATTGTCCCCCTGGGCAGCCCACTGTAATTTGGACATCTCTGATGCCCTTCTTGGTATTTTAGGACTCTTCTGCCCATTGCTGGCTCCTCAGGGCAGGAGGACAGAGGCTTAGTCCCCATGTCATTATGGGTAGTGGCTCACATCGTATGTTTCTGTCCCGAGACCTCGGTTAGCTTAGAAGCACAGTCCCAGAACGCTGGGCTCTAGAGACCCCTTGTCTGTCCCTATTGCCCCATTTGCCAAAGTGGCCACTGGGATGCCCTGGCTCCTCAGCAGAAGTCCCTGACTGTTCTGGGGCTGCTGTAGGGCTGACGAGGAGGGAAGGTGTTGCCCTTGGACTGTGCTGTGGAATGCCCTCACTACTATCACTGCACCCACCTTGTGGCTGGGAAAGGCCTGAAGCGTCACTGTTTCTCACACTCTGAATCCGTCCCATGTAATGCCAGCACGGAAGCTGGAGAGATTTGACTTCTTGGTTTCCAGGGCCCTTTTCAGACTACAGGGACAGGTACTTGGAAATGGTCCCCGCTGTGGGGATGGAGGCCAGGAGGAGGAAGGCAGGGGCCACAGGCATGTTCTGGGGCCAGCTTCCTTTCCTGGACTCCTTCAAAAGACATCTTTTTAAAAGTAGCCCCTATAGGTAGGGCCACAGAGGAATCCCCAAGACATCCATGTCCCGTGTTTCTGGCCATTTTCCTCTGCATTCTTGACTTTCATTCCTTCTACAAGCACCCCCTGTTGCCTTCCGGTGCCAGGCATGGATAACCAGAGATGAACAAGACCCGAGCGCCCAAGAGATAATTGTTTTGAGGATGCTGAGGCTCTCATTCTAGGCCTGTGTGCCACATGGATTTCTTCATGGAACAGGCATTTTCCCAGTGTCAGCTCCCTGTCCCAGATAAATGAGGCACCACTCCCACCTTCAGGGACTCACAGTCAAAGACAGACAGATAAGAGGAAGGCTGGAAGGATGGACCGGTCACGATCGCATCTGGGCTCAGCAGGGACCTGCTCGGATCCTGTTGGCCCTTGTCTGTGAGCAGGGTGGGAAGGGGTGGGCACCCACACTCACGGTCCTCTTCCTTTCCGGGCTGAGCTTCCTCTGCCTGAAGATCTCCTCAGGCTGCTCCTCCTCCCACTGTGTCTCCTCCTTCCTTCCTTCCTTCTCCTCTCTTAGTGTAAGCTAGGAAGTCAAGGGCCTCACACAGACTCCAAGAGTTTGGCTTCTCTAGAGATCTGGAGCTCCCATGTTCAACAAAACGTTCTCTCCCAGAAAGGCTGGATGAGGGAGAGAGGAACACGTGGTATATTTGCCCCAAATCAAATGACTGCCTCATGCCTGCTGTCCACCCCGGGGGACTTAGCTCTGCCGGGAGCTGGGGAGGCTGATTCTCTGGAGGAGCTGGGCTGGATGCAGATGTGGGGGAGGCTGCATCTGCAGGGCAGAGCTGGACTCTCTGAGGAGACCCACGGGGAGCCAGTGTGCCCACTCTGGGGGAACCCTTGGGAGCACCCCCTATAGAGCAGGACCCACAAGTGCACATGGTCCCAGTGTCCTAGCTGTGGGCTTCTGTGGCCCTGTGCCTTCAGAACAGAGCCCCACCCTGCTGTCAGCCTAGGGCCAGAGGCAGGCAGGGGAACCCCGGGAGAGCTGCCTCAGGAAGCACTGCAGTCCTCCAGCCCTTCCTCCCCTGCCTGGCTCACTTCAGAGCATTCTCCTCCACCTTTGACTCAGTTTCCCAGCAGCAGGTTCCTCCTGCCCACTTGCAGATTGCCGATGCCCAGGGTCAGTAAGTTCCTCCTAGAATCCCTCCCGAGTTTCTTCCTCTGTGGTCCCCTCACTGAGCCTTCCCTCCGTGGCTCTGGCCCTGAGCCCTGGAAGTCCCCAGCGCAGATGTTTTGCTTTCTCCCGACAGGCGGCTGGCCCGGTCCACCCTGCTGCTCATCCCACTATTCGGAATCCACTACACGGTATTCGCCTTCTCCCCAGAGAACGTCAGCAAAAGGGAAAGACTCGTGTTTGAGCTGGGGCTGGGCTCCTTCCAGGTAGGTGTGGCGCGTGGGGAGGGCAGAACTCACTGGGAGCCAGTTGCTCACCGGCAGGTGGTGCTGGAGGCTCTTTAACCTAGACTGTGAAATGAGTACTAGAGTAGAGGTGATGAGGGAGCCCTGTCTGCTGTCTACCCTCAGGGCTTCTGTAAGAAGACACACTGGTGTCTGCCCATCACTGCATCTGAGTATCCTGAACCAGTTGCCCCTACTCCTGGCCCCCACCCTGGGTGACCTGAGATGGCACCTCCCAGCAGCCTGGGGTGTAGGGTGGAGTGTCCTCAAGAGCCCAGTGTGTCCACATCCTGACTTCAGCTTTCTAGGCCATGTACCCCTTGAGTTCTGTCTTACCCACCTCTAGGTCCTCAGCACAGGGCCTGGCCGCAGAGAGCCCAGTGAGCTGCACAAGTGCACGAGCAAACAGGCATGAGTGAGTGAGGGGATGAGAGGGTGAACAGAATGCTGCCTCTGTGCCTGGAGGAAGGACTGGATGGACTGGAAATGAGTAAGGGGCTAGGCGAATCACGGTGAGGAAATGAGCAGGCAGGAGCAGCAGTGGGCAGACGTAGGCAGGGGCAGCTCTGGAGTGTCTGGGGACAGAGTGCCTCTCCCTAAGCCAGCTGTTTGAATTAGGATTTGATCTTGATGGTCAGAAAGTTACTCTCCAGATCTGACTTGATCTCCTCCACCATTTTACTTCAAGGCCATTTAACCTGGCCCAGGTTCTTAGTCTGGTGAGACTGACCATGGGTCTCATCTGAGACTGGCCTCATGGGCTCATAGACAAAGCCCTGGCCCAGGAGTCAGAGCCCAGGGCTCCTGTCTCTGTGCTCGCTGACCAGTTCTGGGGTCCTTGAGCTATCATTCTTCCAACACCTTCAAGCGACAGCACAGGGCACAGGGATTGCAAGGAACTAATTTGCAGCATTCAAGAAAATGCTCCTGCTTTTTCATGTAGGTTTAAAGAATATATAGAGAATAGCTAAGTGCATATGCTGTGCCAAGTACTCACTCTGCGTGGTGTTCCGCATTGCTGTGTATGACAGTATCTGGCCCAGGGAGAGCAGACTGGGGAGATGGCCCAGGGAGGGCAGACGGTGGACAAGGATGGCACAGGTCTGTTCTGTCCTGGAGGGGTCCTACCCTCAGAAGCCTGCAGGCTGGTTAGGAGCCAAGATAAATTCTAGGGCATTCAGGGAAGGCTTCTTATAGGAAGTGGGGTAAAGCTGGCCTTTGGGAATGGGAAGGATTTGAACAAGGGAATGTGAGATCCAAAGCTAGAATCTGTGGGATAGGACTTGTCCACTAGCCACGTGGCCTCATTGGTAGAGTAGAACTGTCCCATCTTACCCCAGATCCCTGGGCAGGTGCCCCCATCCAGATCATGGTGTATTTCTGCTTCCTAGAGTCACCCCCTCCATGCCCCACACAGCATTTCAGAAAGTCCTTTGCTAGCATCCTCAGGCTTACTTTCTCTATTCGCAGGGCTTTGTGGTGGCTGTTCTCTACTGTTTTCTGAATGGCGAGGTAAGACCTTGTCCCTCTGGCTTCTTGGCAGTGGAAGTGGGGCTTTCTGGGAAGCAGACAGGGGAGCCACCTGTCGGCCACATGGGACTGACTCCCCAGAGGGGACTCTGCCAGGTTCCCAGCACTGAGAGGAGGGGCTGGTCACACAGCTCCTGGCATTGTGTGGTACCAGGACCTCCTGATACCTGCACCCTGTGCTGGAATCTGTCCCACTTTTCTAGCCGTGCAGCTGAGGCCCCACGTGAAGAGCAAAGCTCCTGGTAAAAGTGTCAGCTCTGCTGTGCGCCGATCTCCCTGGGAGGGTGCTCTCCATAAGACACTCCATGGTGAGAAGGAATTGACAATAAGGAAGGCTGGGGCACAGGACATAGGACCTACAGGCCATGAGGCTGTGCTCGGCACAGCTGCTGAGCCAGGAGCTGCCCAGCACTCAGGGCTGCCCCTAATTGGCCAGACAGCCTGGCCCAAACTGTCCCCTGATAAAAGGGAGACTGAGAATTTGGAAGAGACCCCAGGGAGAGACCTGGAACCTTCTAGTAATACTCCATTGCCAGAGATGTGGTTCGGGGGCTCCCTCTGTACCCTGTTGGGGTGAAACTCTTGAGCACAACCCGAAACAGAGGTGCCGGGGCAGCAGTGGGGACTGAATGGCTAGGATGGATTTGAGAGTAGGCGGGAGTCTTTGCACCAGTGCTTGGGTCTTAGCTGCATCACCTGGGCAGGCTCCTTCCTCTTTTGCATCTGAGCAACAAAGAGATTGGGCTTTGTGATCACCCAGACAACCTACAGAAGGATCAGATTAGGACAGACAAGGAGAGGCAGAAAGGGCCCTGCAGGTAATGGCCAGGAGAGTTTAGAAGTGGGCAGGTATGTAGCTTGTTCTGAGCTTGCAGTGGAAGTAGGAGCTGGAACTGGAGAAGGTGGCTGTAGGCGCTGCTTCCAGTTGTGCAGTCTGTGCACTGCACAAAGGTGCTTGACTGAAAAGGCACATGGAGGTTGAGACCCAGCCTGGCCCCCACTCACCATGCTAAGAGCTACATGGGTGTGTGTTTTCCCAGAGGGGTGCATTATTTAATGCTTCTCAACCCTGACTGCCCATTGGAGTCACCTGGGAAGCTTTAAAAAATATGATGCCTGGGTCTTGTGCAGAACTTTTGATGTAATTGTTCTGGGGTATGACCTGGGCACCTGGAATTTTTAAAGCCCCCCAGGTGATTCTAATGTGTAGCCCTCTTACTGGTCAGCCAAGAGAGGGGATCCTTTCCCGATCCACCTGCCCTGTGCGGCTGCTTGTTAAAGATTTCTTGAAGGACCCGATGGACTAGTCTCTGCCTGGCCTGAAAACAACAGGAAGCTGTTAGGAGGCCTTGCTCAGAAAGTGGCAGGGGAAGGGGTTGTTCAGGTCAGCTCCTCAGAGGCGTCCCTGCCTACAGCTGCTAAAAGCCCCCACTGGAGACCTTGAAGGCCGCAGGCTGCAACTAGGGAGGGGGAAGGGTGCTGAGGGTGGCAGTGCCAGTCTGGGAAGGGCCTCAGGCCAGAGGGCCTGGAGGCTGGAGAGGATGTCCACCTGGAAGTGATGTCCACCTTGCTCCCTGCAGGTACAAGCGGAGATCAAGCGAAAATGGCGAAGCTGGAAGGTGAACCGTTACTTTGCTGTGGACTTCAAGCACCGACACCCGTCTCTGGCCAGCAGTGGGGTGAACGGGGGCACCCAGCTCTCCATCCTGAGCAAGAGCAGCTCCCAAATCCGCATGTCTGGCCTCCCTGCTGACAATCTGGCCACCTGAGCCGTGCTCCCCTCCTCCTCCTCTCCTCCATCCACAGGCTGGGACTGCAGGCAGGCGCCAGCCCACGCATGTTGGCGCCTCTTCCCTCCCCTTGGGCAGGCCCTGGGCCGGAAGCTTGGCTCCTGAGGGGGGAGAAGGAGGCAGGGCACAGACTGGGATTGTCCCCTCCTTGTTTTGGTACTGGTCCCACTCACTGTGGTCCCCTGACCCCAGACATGTAAATACTCCTCAAATTTGGAAAAGTTGTCCCATCCCTTCCCCCTTTGCCCCAGTGTCCCCGCTCACTTCCAGTCGGGTCTCAGCTCCACCCCACTGTGTCTTGGTCAGCCTCAGTGATGGCCTGACCCCAGCTGTGAGGCCTTGTGAGCTAAGGCTGAAGAGACCTTGCCTGTGGGAGCTGGGGTGGTACCTGCCCCAACAGCCCCCCATCATCTGATTTTGGGTGTGACCCCTCAAGTGTGCATGCCACCATGGGGCTCTTCTCAGTCCTGGACCCAAGTCCCTGAGGCCTAGCAGAGGGCCCGCTCGGGTGGCCAGAACACCGCTTGGTGCAGGCCTCCTGGCACTCGCCTGGCATCTTGGTGTCTGGGTGCTCAGCTCCTGGGCCCCAGGGCAGTGGGACGGCTCCAAGGCTTTTCTCATCAGAGACTTCAGTTTGGGTGGAGAGTGTGCAGGTCAGGGAAGGTTCTGGTGCTTTTCATTTGATCCAAAAGGAGCTGAGAGCCAGAAATGTGGCTGTGATTGGGAAAGAGATGGAGTTTGGGAGGCCCATGGAAGAAAACCTTCGCCATCTCCATTGTTTTACCCCCAGCTTAAGATGGACAGGGTTCTTCTGGTCACCTCCCTTCCACCTCTTCCACCCTCATGGATGCCGTCTCCAACCATGCCCACCACAGACAGCCCTTAAGCCGTCCCCTCCCCATTTCCCCTCAGTCAAAGCCATGACTAGGATGTACCAGCCGCCTGCCTGTGATGTCGGCGAATCCTGAAGCACCTGCACCCGAGTCTGGGGCCCAGGGCTCCTCAACCCCCACCCCCATGGATGATGTGGAGCCCCAGACACCAGCTCCTCGGGCCTGGACTCAACTATTGAAATCTCTGAGACCTTTGCAAAGATGTCCCTTATATGCCCTTGACCTTGACTCACCATGGGCTGCTGGGGTGTCGGGAGGAGAAGCCACACCCACCATGCCCAGGAGCAGAAGCGGCTGCTGATGGGGCGGCTGCTCCCCACCACCCGCCCTGGCTCCCCAGCTGCAGGTTGCACACCCTCAGCCTGAGAATGTACAATAGGGCGGTGCCCAGCTGAGGAGGCAGAGGAAAGTGCTAGAGTACGTGGTCCCTGTGTGACCTAGCTCATTCCATGTCAGCATTTGGTATTACTCCTGTCCAAGTTCTGTTTGTGGACTTGTTTCATGATGATGTTCTGGAATGCTTGGGGACTTTGGGTGGAGGAAGATGTTGCTTCATTTTATAAAGAGGAAGGGGCCTGGGGGACTTGGGAAAATGTTTCTGGAGAGGCTTTCAGAGTGGCTGGAAAAGGCTCTTGCTGCTGTAATTTAGAGAGGAGCTCTGTGTCCTTGGCCAGTCAAGTAAGTCCCTGGGTCTTTGGCAAAACCAGAGGAAGAAAGGAGCTACCTGCCCCTTCCTGGGCATGCTTGGCGACTCAGATTGATCATGGAGTGTGCAGTGGTCCTTCTGCCCTGCACCTGACCTCATGATCCCCTCCACCTGCACTGACGCAAGGGTCCTGTGGCCATCTTGCACTTTGGGTACTGCTAGGGGGTCTGGGCTGCTTGGAAGGAGCCTGGGGTTCAGGAAACTAGACTCTATCCCAGTTGGGTTCAGACTGCTGTGACTGTGGACATGATGCTCCCTATTCTGGGCTCCAGTTTTCCCATTTGTGAGATGAGGCAACTTCTGCTGCTTCTCTAGGCCCTGTACTTAAGTGATTTTTCCAGTTCAAAGCCAAGGCAGGCAAAAGGGCATACATCATTGTGCCTCCTATCAGGTTTTGATGAGTGTGTGTGTGTGTGTGTGTGTGTGTGTGTGTGTGTGTGTAGAAGGATGGAGACAGGATGCTGTTTATTTTCCATTTCTTGGAAATGGACCCTCTGTCCCTTCCATTTGGACACCACAGTGAGAGCTGATGGCCTGGAAGGAAGGATTAGGTCATGGACATTTGAACAGGTGCCTTGGGCATGATACGTAGATGCAGCCATATATACCTTGCTGGGGTGGGGTGCCACCTCCAGTGGCCACCTCCAGATCCAAGGAGCAGCTCCCTGGGGATGGACCCCATTCATTCATCATCACTCCCAACAGCAGATCTGTTTCATTGTGGAAGAAGAAACTTTGGCATTACACAGACATCATCACAAAACAGTAAAAAGAAAATCAATCCTGAACCCCATGCAGTCTGCTGCTTCCTGAGCCTGGCCCTGTGTCCTCATAGAGGTTCCGGGTTCCTATTGGTTGGTTGGTTGGTTGGTTGGTTTTTCTGTCTGAATGAATTTTTGCCAGTCTTATGAGCAGATATACCTGATGTATTCTCAATGTCCCAGGAGGTTCTGGCCTTCAGGGTCACAGGCAGTAGGGGGACAGCATAAGGTCTGTGTAAAACCCTTCCCTCTCTGACCCTCTGTTTTCAAATCTGTAAAATGGGCAGTAAGAATAGATGATTTGTATGTAGCCCAACGCATCTCTGGAACTCTGTCTAAACACCAGCTATCTACTTGGAATGGGCCCCAGGACTGTGGTATTTGCCTGGGCCAGGAAAGGATAAGAAATACTGTCATGTGAAGACAGCTTGAGAGGCTTGGGAAAAGTGGGGCTGGGGAGGAGCAGGCTTGTCAGACTCCACCCCTGTTGATGATCATTCCTGGAAAGGGGGTTCTCGTTCTATGCAATCCTAAAGGACAAAACTCACCCATGGGAGGCTGAATTATCCTTGGGATGAAGAAATCGCTCTTTCCCTGTCACAACTGTCCAGCCAGGGAGCAGGGAGGCAGTGTCAGGGAGGGACACTCATCCTGGGGGAAATGGGATTCCAAGTCAAGGATGCTGAGGCTGTCGGGGAGCCAGAGAGGGGGGTCCTAGTGCAGGATGTGGGTGGCTCTGTGGTTCAGTGAATCTGTGGTGGTCCCTAGCACTGCAGACTTCATGACTCCCCACTTAAGTCCAAGCCACATTCTCTGTCCCAGTGTGTAGCTCTGTCACCCTGCTTGACACATCCAGTGGCCTACAGTGACTCCTCTCTAACCCCACCCCCTCCAAGCTGGATTCTTTGTGGAACAGGGCCAGGGAGCTAGAGCCAAGCCCGAGGTTTAAGAAACACTTGCATCTAAAATCCCCGCCAAGGTTGCCCACTCACCTCTCTCATCTGACCCTCACTCTTCGTGGAAGGGAAAGCCCAAAGGGACTCTTTTATTTTGAGTAGTCCCTTGCCCTCTTCATGGCCACTTCAAAGTGGAGCCAGCAAGTATTGATACTTTATCATTTAGTATTATCATAAAGTATTAATAGTTTATCACAAAGTCCTCCTTGAGCCCAGGGACCATGGAAGTCAGCTAGAAGAGCCCTGAGCAAGCAGCAGAGACTTGGGCTTCTCCAAGCTTTACTCCTGGCTTATTTGACCTTGACTCATTCCCCATATGTCTCTGAGGAGGCTCACAAAATACTAAAGCTGGGAGGAAACTTGGAGATCTATAGGTCAAACCTCCCCATTGGGCTGATAAGAAAATACACGTGGGCCTAGCATGGTGCCTGCCACCATGGTGGGATCCAGTATATTTTATAAATCTGAATGAGTAAATGGCTCACCAGTTTGTGCACAGCCCTGCACATGAACAGAATGTGACACTCAAGGCTTCCATGCAGTACGCATGTAACCTTGCACAGGAGAGGGGCTCTGGTGACCGATGGTTTTCCAGGACTCTATTGCAGGAGAAGCAATGGAGTCAGTGTGGTGTGGGGAGACCTGCTTTTTAACCTGGACTTAGCCACCTGCTCTGTGATCCAGGGCTTACCTTCTTTGGGCCTCGGCCTCCTAATCTGAGTAATGGGGAGGACTTCATTGGCATTGTTAGTCCCACAGGCCAAGGATAAGGTTGAAATGAGATGGCTTGTGTGTGAAAAGATTTTGGAAACTACACAGATGTGGGCTTGTTCTTGGGATGAAAACTGCTGGAAGGGACTCCTTGCTGTTTATCTACTGCTTTGAGCCCTCCTGAATTAACCTTTGCCCCATTTGTAAAACCACCAGCATCGGGAGTAAGGGGGACGCCAGAAGGCTCAGATGGACACAGAATTCTAGCTTTATCTGCATCAGCTGATTCAGTTTTCTGTTGGGATCAGAGAGAGGATACTTCCATATGGGTGACAGCAGCCATGCCCTTGGGAGTCATCTTCAAGGATCTGGGACATTTTGGTGTGCCCATTCCTTATTTTCCTGAACTCACAGTCTTGGGATGTTTCTGCGCTTGGCCATGTGTGTCTTGTCTTATGTCTGTCTTCTGTAGCTTTGCCTCTGTCAGGGCTGGAGTGGTGCAGCCCCTGGCATCTCAGACATGGTTCCTGCCTCACTCGTGGGAGCTGGACCAGCCTGGGTTTCATCTCCCACAATAAAGATAAGCCCCACAGACCTTACTGCTACCGCTGCTGCCATTAATGCTGTGCTCATAATCTTGTCCAGGATTTTAAGAATGTCAGACTGCTGTAGATGACTCAATAAATGTTTCGCCATTTTTCCTGGTGGCTGTAACTTGGCATAAGTGGAGGGAAGGGAGGAGAGGAGGGGGAAGGGGAAGGGGAGAGGACTACCCCCAAAATTTGATCATCCCAGAGTAATCCAGTGTATACAAGGCCCAGTGGCCTTTAAGATTCCAAAGGAGAAATATGAGAGTGGGCCTGAGTGAGCCTAGGATGGAACTCGAAAGTAAATTAGAAGTCTTCGCCTTAAAGGATCTCCAGGGGTCATGGAAACTGAGTGAAATCATGACCTTCCTATTGTACCTTGGGAGTACCTACCAGATATCCCAAAACCTTGACTGCAGAGAGCATTTCATCCCAGGTAACTACAGGTATATCCTTGGCTTCCAGGATCCCATCCCCTAATACTTCTGGATATCCCAAACCATCAGTCCCAGCCAGACCAGATAACCAATTCAAGGTAACCCTCATTTCCTCGAGGTTCTGTTGATTGTCACAATCCCAGTGTCCATTTTCATATTGGTCATAATGTTCAGTTGCTAGTAAAAGAAGCTAATTTTGGCCAGGTCAGAAAAGGAATTTACGAGAAAGATGTTGAGCTGGTCATAGATTTCTCTTAAGGCTGGAGAAACTAGAAAAGGTATCTGAAGCCATATCATGCTGCATGACTGATGATGAAACTGCTGCCACCCCCGTGATGTCTCTTCCATGCCAGGGACATGGCTTTGCAATTATTGCCACCTCTGAAAGCAGAGAGCTTTGCTGCTATTCTCACCATCAAATCAGATTTTACTTTCAGCCCTCTTCCTCAAGTTGCCTACTTCCGAATCAAAGTTTCATGTAACACCATTGGATTGACTGTGTTCTTGCTATAAGGAAGACTGGAAATTGGACTTCTCTGGATTCTACCTAGAGGTCAGAGTCACAAGCCTAAAGATTTTCTAAACATAACAATAAAATCCTGGGAATAATAAATGCCCACTACCACAACAGGCCTGAGGTCTACAGCAAATGCAGGGCCAGCTTCCTCTGGCAATCAGGTGGGCCACTGTGAAGAAGTCAAATCAATCAAAAGATGGATTTTAGCCCAATAGTGTGCTAGCCCTGCAATCAGCTAGGGCTGTATAGATCACTCACCAGATGCCTCCCAGGTGTTCATGGGGGTGTTCCTAAGCTGGGACACTGGTTGGTTCTGCTTCCAGAGGCTGTGCCTGCTCCTCTTTCTCCAGACTCATCTCTTCTTTTAGTTCTAAAGGAGATGACCAGGCTATGTTATATGACCCACTTAGCAGATATTTTGAGTTGCTTCCAAAATGGAACCTATGCTCAAAGGCTGAAAATTAGTCTCCTTGTATGTCAGCCTCTGCTGGCTGCTTTCCTAAGGAAGACTTCCCTAGTGTTCAGAAAAATATTACTTTCACTGATGTGACCATAATGAATTGAGCTTCCATATGTTTTGTTCTTTGAAAGAGGTCATGTCCAAAAAGCAAAGGTAAGAGCCAAAATTTAGTTGAAAGGCTTGAATTTCACATTAAGCTTGAATTTCTTGGCAACAGTGAAGATCATCAAACTCCTCAGTCCATGTGAGCATTTATAATATCCTGTTTCCTCTGTCCACTTCCCAACATTGATAGACTAAGCCCTCATTTCTCACAAGCCCCTCAGAAAATGCCTTGAATCTTGGCTGTTTCTCATGATGCTCTCTGTTTTACTGGTACTGTGTATAATTCCTCTTGGGAACCCAGTGATTCTTAGACATTATCCTGCATCAGAGTCACCTGAGGGACTATTAAAACACAGACTGTGGGACCCACCCCCAGAATTTCTGATGCAGCAGGTCTGAGGTAGGGCTGGACCATTTGCATTTGTAAAAGGTTCTCAGCTGTGGCTGTTCTCCTGGTCTTGAGACAGTACTTTGAGATCCACTGTTCTACAGGTTCTAACTGAGGACACTGGAAGGGCAATATAGTCCCTGTTTGTGAACCATGGACCTGGACAATGATTACCTTTCCAGGAGACAGAGCACAAGCATAGACATTTGCAACAAGAGCTTTAATTTCCTTTTCCTCTCAGGCAAGTGTCTTAGAACAGAAAGCAACAAGTTCCAAGAGGAAATGAGCCTGCACATATCCATTCAGTCTCAATCAGTGTAAGTATTAGACCATCTCTGAATCAACTAGTATCAAGTTCAGTGGGATATGACAGCAAAAACTCCAATAAAAAGTGGCTTAAAGCAGACAGAAGTTTGCTTCTCTCGTATGAAGTCCAGAGGTAGACAGTCCAGAAGCGGTGCTGTGGCTTTGTGGTCTTTCTGAGGACTCAAGCTTTTATCTTTTTGCTCCTCCATCTTTAGCAGGTGAGTTCTAGTCTTGAGGGCACCCTAAGCTCCAGGGCCCCTGGAGCTCTGGATGTCACTGGACTTAGAAGCAAATGGGAGAAGGCAAAAGAACTCTTCCCCTTCTTGGGAGCGAGTGCGGCTAAGCAGGCTATATCTGCTTACATCTCATTATCCAATGTGTAGTCGACATGGCCACACCTCACTGCAAAGCAGGTAATGCAGTGCAACCTTAATAACAATTGGAAGGAAAGAAGGGATATTGACCAGCAAAAAGTAGTTTGTGTCATAATCTCAAATCTCCAAATCTTTGGCAGTCCTTAGTGGTGAGTTGGGTTCATCCAACACCTGTGGAAAACCAGGAGTCATATGGCTGTATGTTTGTCCTATTTTACATATTGGGAACGAACTCCAGGGATACAGTCTCCACCTGGACCAAAGCCCCCCTTATCAGAAAGTAGAGCAGCTGTGTCTTCCCACACATTGAAACCTAGTCTAGTTTCAAGGGGTGAGAGCTGCCTGCACAATTTTCTGGTAGTCCTCTCTTATGGCTGCAGTTTCTTGAGTGGATTCTGTGCCTTGGTGGTTTCTACACATCCAGTAATCTCTTTTTAATTTGGCGGATCCTCAGAGTAGTGATGGGGGTGTTGGGAGGGATGAAGGTCTTATAATTTCTGACTGTCAGTTGCCTTCAAATGAACTCATGTAGATGCTCTGAGCCTCCAGTGTTGTTACACTGTGCCCTTGTGGATAGCCCCATTTGCAGTAGTTATTCTGGTGTGAACATGGAAATTTCCCTCTGCCACCGTCCTGGATGCAAGGTTGTAAATTCTGTGGGTGAAACCCAGTCACCAAGAGCTCTTCCATATGCTCTTTCTAGGCCTGAGAGGCAGTCCTTAGCAGATGGCAGAACTGTACAAAGACATCATGTGTATCCATTCCAATTCATACAGGCTCTCAGCTGAGGGGACTTTGCCATGATATCTCAGTTTCAGTCAGCAAATCTTCCATCAATGCAATGGTGAGGGCCCTTGTTCTGACCCTCAGGGCCCTCTCAGGACCACCCCTCTCAGTCACCCTCTTTCTCTCTTCCCTTTCAGAAGTCCCCCACTTGCACTGTATTGTATTCTAGGTTCTTCTCCCTCACCCCAGGTCACTCCTCCCCTCTGCCCCTGATGTAAACTCAGGCATGGCTTGGGGCAAGTTCTCCTTGAGCTTATACTCTTGGTGCCCTTATCTTTTGGGTGTCCCCAATACTTGAGAGTCATCTGTAGTGTTCTCCTTAACCCTCTTGAGACACTTTTTCCATGGACAAAGGCATCCATTCCTATGACATTAAGCCTAACTTCCATTAATAAACCCAACTATTCACCACCAGGAGCAGCTTTGGCTTGGGCAGTAAGTACCATGGAGAGAGCCAAGTGAACCTTGGGTCCAGCACCACAGAGAGTTCCAAGACTGTACCTACTTGGCAGTCTGTCTGGTCTATTTTTATCGCATATGAACAAAGGCAGATTTAGGTTTTATGAAACTGGAAACTCATATAATTTGGGGAGTCCTCTTTAATACAAAATGAAAACTTTTCAATTAAAATTAGGTATAGAAATAAGGGATTTTTTGAATGAGAAAAGTTGACAACTATCATAAACATTATGAAATCCAGAAAAACAACATCATCTTTGTATTAATTACTCTCTGCTGGTTGCATACTCTTTGATCATCTCTTTATTAGATGACAACATTTATATCATTTTCTATTCATAAAATTTAAGTGTAATTTAGTCACGTAGTTAATAAAAATGTGTGTTTTATTATTGAACATTTGGACTCAGCACCAATGAAAACAGAATCCTCCAATTACGGTTTTACAGATATGATGACTGGAAGATTGTTTTCACAGACTAGCACCTGGCTCCATACACATCCAACTTTGTTTCTCCAGCACTGTACACATTGCCAGGCACTGTAGGACATTTTAATATGATGATATGATATGATCTCTGGCCCTCTCTCTGCCTTTGTACATAATGCTGAGTGAACAACAGGAGTATTCCTGGAAGGACATTATAATATCACTGTATAATGAAGCAATGGCACACACTCATGTGAAACCCACTGAACCAAACTGAGTGTCTGTCTAACTTAACCTCCCCTCCGTTGGATCCCCAAAGTGTTCCTGGCAGTTGAGTGCTACCAAGCATGTAAGAAGGTGTGGTAGAGGAGATGTTATGGTGGAGAGATGCTGCAGGCTTATCCAATTTGGGGCAAATAATTTACTTTTCCAAATTTTCCAAAAACATAAGATCTTGTGAACACACTTCTGAGATCCAAGTGAGAGAGAGGGGCTTGGAAAGTGCTGGATATGACCCACATTTATCTATTTATCATCACAGGAAGATATTTTTCAGTTTTACAAGACTTAAGCCTGTAATGCAGAGAACCAGAGATTTCTGAGGTCCCTGTTTTCAAACGATTTCATGTGCTCTCTGGAGCATTCAGGTCACTCTTTAGATGGGTGGCTGTTACCCCTCCATTCAAGAATCGCTTACTGGGACCTGACTATGTGGTAGAGGCACTGAGGGCACAGTTTGGCATCAATAATGAACCAGAAACATTTTGTCCTCACAGTCAGGTGGAGAAGACTAAAATAAATCAACCAGGGATGGTGTGTGATAAGGTATAATTAAGGTATTAAGGGATCTGT